TCACATATCTATTCTTTATATGCTTTTTTTCTGATCTTCTGGGTACACCGCCAAACCAGGGTCAGGTCCCAGAATGCTGGATCAAATGATGTAATCACACACTGCTCCCATATCACAACAATATGTTGACAGCTGGGCATGGTGTGAACTTCGCACTAAACACAGTGTGTCGCCAGGGAGATGTGTCTGGGAGGTGGTGAGAAAATGTATTGACAGGGTAGACATCCAGGAAAAACTGGCATGGGGTCTTGTTATGTGAGTAGCCTGTGCATATACACATCACTGGGCTGCTGGTCCATTTCTTTATGACATGGTGGTCCAGGATTGAGCTGTCTCTTTTCAAACCTTTTCTTCATGAATCAATGCTACCTGGAATCATGTGAGCACATCCTGTCTGTGTAGTATGGGAGTGGGAGCTGGCCACTGACTGATTGAGAATGCAAATGTATCAATATTGATGGAAACAATGAATGTATGTATGTAGAACTACCAACTACTAAAGGGATGGGGTTCTGAGGATGAGCACGTTGAAGCGAAATGGTAGGCTAATTAGGCACATAAGGAATGATAATCTACGAATAGTCCAAGCATCGAGGACAGGCTAAGGAATTGTGGTGGGCTAGTGGCCAATGACAGTGTCAACGCTTCCTTGAAATTCATCACCATCACCGCTGGCAATGGTGTAAGAGGTTCGATCACTGTACTTGGCCTGGTCGCCTTCCAGGATCTTTTTGAATGTACTAGGATTATTCATGAGAGCAAAAAGAGTTCCAGAACAGAAATAGCGGCATACCGTGTAATTTTCCTTGTATCATCTCCTGCCATTGTCCAAATGAGTTTGAGTCAGGCATCCACCTTATCCCAGTAGGTTGTGTCGCTGACCTCCGTATATAACTTGTGCTACCCAAAAAGAAAAGAGTGTTAGAATTTGGACGTCATTGCCATAAGATCACTTACCAGCAGAGCCAGCCTTGCACACAAAGGTACTGTGACAGAGGAACGGGTATTCATGAGGACCACGGTTGCAAGCTCAAAGATAGTTTCTGAGGCAACAACACTCTCCTTGATCTGGAAAACTCGACTTAATCTTTAAGCAGCGCACTGTGAGGAAATAAACTTACCAATAATTACCATATTAGGACATGCACACAGACCATGTAAATAGTACCCCAACATCATGACCAATAGTGAGCATCATCCCTGATTTTATTATTATTTTTTATGTGAAAATGCAAAACCTGCCATATTTGGCAATTTTAGTGTCCATTCCAGTCACTTCATTCCAGTGCCATTCCATTCTGGTGCATTCTGGGGACTGTTTCAGTGTAAATACCGGAATAATGAAATTCTGAAAATTTGGCTGGTAAATTCCACTGGAATGGCACCGGAATCCACAGGAATGACCAGAATCCAGCAGGAATCAGTGGGGCATGACTAAGACCTCCCACTATGTTGAGTTAGATGAGCTTGAAGCCTCCCATCCCAAGACTGCAAAATTGATTGTAAGTATCTTCCCATGC